CCTTTTTAGGACCGACTTAATGAAATACAAGCCTCCACTGAAAAACTACTCTATAACAACTGCAGAAAAAAATGGCAACCTACTGCGGGAAAGAATCTGCCTTGTCAGTCATGTATCGAAAGATACATGATCGCCTAATCGTGTATCACACATGGCATAAAAAAAATAGTACATAAAATTTAAGAAATTTTAAACGGAGTTGAAGTTGACATTAGAAGCAACTGGGAAACCCAATCCTAAAGAGAATATAAGAGGTGAAACTCTATTCCCGTTCAAAAGATCGGGGAGATGTGTTTTAAACATTTTTGCCATTTCAACTTTTAAATCCGAGTAGTTAGTAATTTCACCTTGTTTACTATATTCGTGTCATTTGTTATGGCAACATCAATGAATGACGTAATTATTATTATTGTTAATATTAGATTTTCATTCTGCTTGTTTGTTTTACGAGCTGCTTCCAACCAGAAACCTCAAGAGACTGCAAGTCAACAGTATCATCTGTCTTTATAGTAGAACATCATTATTATAAACTTTCATTAAAATGTGTAGATGAAATTTATGTACAGTGAAAATGTGTAATTAGATTATACTGAGTGTCTAAAAAAACTAAAATTATGTCACAGGTGTGAAATTCAGTAAACACACAGGGGAACATTCAAAATATGAAGAAAAATATTATTTCAAAATATGACGGATTCTGTTTGTATAGGAGACTTTTATCTTTATTATTTCTTTGATTTCTGCGATATACACATTTCTTTCTGGGTCCCAACCAGAGATCTAAGGTAAAAAAAAACAAAAAAAAAACACACACACACATTTTTCATAGATAAAGCTTTTCGTAATGCGTGAGCTGTACTTGTGAGTACATTTTTTAATTATTTCTTTAAGGCATGGAATATCAGAAATCACTTTATTGAGTCTATCGGGGTTTTTTCCAATCAGTCCGAGGGATCGGACTACAACTATAATTACTGATGTCCTCATCTGCCACATTTTTTAGATTTCTACTTCAAGATTCCTGTATTTTGATAGTTTTTTTGAAGATCTTTAAAGATACATTACAAACTGCAGAGACTGTTACGTCAATAAAACACATTCTCTTCTTGTGGTCTATGATCACAATGTCTGGGCGATTAGCTTAATTGTTCTGTCTTTGTGTATTGTAAAAGTCCATAAAATTGTTACAGGTCTAGTAACCGGATCTAGGTGATGTTCATACCAGTTTCTTTCTCGTCAAAGTGGCCTATTTTCCTGTGCAGATATTGCGCATTATCTAACCTGATCAACAGTCTGAACAAGGCCAGCAATATTTCGGCCACGATGACGTGTGACTTCTTGCAAGCACAATAATTGACAGCTCACAAGGATTCTATTTACTCAATTTCATTCACAAGGCTTGGGTGAACCCGTTGTGTCATTTTCAAGCTCTTTCTAAAGGTGCCGCATGCTGGTATCGACTCCTCAAGACCGATAGCATAAAGAAGTCCCCTTCTTGACAAATCGACTAATCGGCTACTTGCATTTACAGTTCCTTCTGAAGTCTACTCATTTTCTTTCACGCTCAATAAACACTTGTGTCTTAGTGGCATTATCATCTAGATATATTCAACAAATTTAGATTATTTATTCTTATTTCACTGATTAAAAAAGAAAGAGCAATCCCAATATGTGTATCGACAGAAAATAACGTTTAGAGTAATAAGAAATGAAGCTATAATGTAATTTTAAATTATGAACATACGATTGTGTGGAATTTGTGTCTATATCTCTAATTTGTGTTCAGAAACTTAAAATAGATAATGTTACACTGTCATTTAAAGTATTTGATCTTTATTTTTTTCAAACGCTTTTAATGTGAAATATCAACCGGGATCAAAAGGCGGATCATCTGTTAACCAGCCTTTTGAACACTTGCTGCTCGCTGAAATAATCATGCATTAGAGTTACGGAACATGTAACCGCCGAAGCTGAATTTTGACAGATTTCTGTTTCACTTACCGCAGATCATTTAAAAAGTTTGCATCGTCTGTTCAGAGGTCATCATCACACATCTTTATCTTTGAAGTTCTTGTGTAATCCCAGCAGAAGCACTTTTTCTTAATGTCTCCTTTGATCTATTCAGGCAGATACGTCGGGGTTTACTTGTTTGAAAGAAGAAACTTAAAATAACCTTGTCTTTGGCGACAATTGGCAAGGTAACAAACGCATTAAAGATCGTTTGCTTAGTTCGTTTTATTATATATATATATATATATATATATATATATATATATATATATATATATCAATTATGTGGTTCAGTTTAATTTATATTACAATGAATCATTCATACAAAAAGTACATTCGTAAAGTTAATGACATAAAATAGCGAATTCACTTCGTTAACTAAATTTCAAAAATGCATTAACCCACTAACCACTCAATGAATGTTTGATCTTTGATTTTTTTAAATTATAAATTGTATTATGTCTTCCTTAAATATAAAAGTACTTTTGACAGGTTCTCCGGTCATCATCAGGCATGGAAACTATTTTCTTTCACTTAAATTTTCAAAAAAATCAACCTTAGCATTGCAACTGCATGCTCCAAAAGTTTGTATCAATAACACACATCAAAAAACATATTTCGATTTGCATTATATTTTTACGTCTCGGATGCTACCTGAATCTTACCAAAAAGAAAATTTACATTTTGTATGAATGATTCATTGTAATAAATATATATATATATATATAGTTTATGAAAAACTAGGTAATCCATATGGGTAGACCCGAGGAGGATAAAATCCAGAGAGCTCAATGTAAATCTAGAGCAAATAATTTAAATAAAACAGACCACTTTAAGGTTCCATGTCATAAATTATTTCACCACAGCCCTTTTAAGCGACTGCGGATCATCAGACTTTACTTCAAAGGTTTAAACAATTTTTTTGTTTCAACATTTGGAAGTATAACCCTGATGATCCGCAATCCTTTAAATGGTTGTGGTGAAATAATTTATTACATGGAACATAAAAAAATCTGTTTATTTAATATATATATATATATATATATATATATATATATATATATATATATATATATATATATATATATAAACATAAAACATTAGGCAGCATATAATTTACATACAAAGAAATAATCACACATAGAATCAATCAGAAGTATTAATGCGATTATTGGCGACATCCATCATATATGATGAATAGAGGACTATTCGTAAGTACTAGCATTTTAACATCAAATAAACTGAAAACTACAGACAAGTTTATCGACGAGGTCAACTCGCACTATGGATGAACAGTATTTTAATGCATATATTATGTTTTCTAGCGATGGATGTCGCCAATAATCGCATTAATACTTCTGATGATTCTATGTGTGATTATTTCTTTTGTATATATATATATATATATATATATATATATATATATATATATATATATATATATATATATATATAGGCAGTATATCTGCATTCAAGCATATTTCATTGAATAATATAGAAATATGACGTATATTTAATTTTTATAATGATTTTATCGTAGTTACAATAAATTAATATTTATTATTCACCCATGAGGATGATCTTGGATGAGATCGAATGTACTTGGATAAGAAACCAACTACAGCGTTGAATTTCATTTCAACATCAAGAAACTGTTTTAAGTACTGTAAAGGATCCATAAAGAAATAAATAAGCATAATATGTCTCTATTATTCAATAAAACATAGCTTTTGTAGTAGTTAGAATTCTTTTGTCTACATCTTGGCATTCTTAGGAAGCTGGATGTTTGAACAAAAAACAAGAACAAAATAGCAATTAACATGAAAGTAATTTTTGTATAAATTTCTGTGATGATGAGTTATCTTTATTTACAATATTTATATTCGTACCTGAGTAGGTTACCCAGACTGATGAATGCCGGGGGACAAAACCGTCGAAACGTTGTGATAATAACAACAAAAATAAGGACAATAGTCTGAATATTGTAAATAATGAATGTATTTATAGAAAAGGCATAGGGAAGCTACATTACTGAGATGGAAAAGTGATTGAAGCCAATATGCCTGGTCAGGAGAGATCACATTGCAAATTCTTCTTTGTATTTTGTCAGGAATCTTTAGGTACATAGTAGAAATACTAGAGCACATGTGGCAGTTATATTGTAGAATTATAAAGCTGTAAAATCGCTTCTGTCGCGAGAATTTGTCTTGCAAGACACAGTGAAAAAAAACTTTCCTTTCAAAAGATCTAGTAGCTGAAACAATATAATCATTCCACTATATGTCAGTTAGCCCGAGAAGACAGAGTGGGTTTCCTGGTGGTTAGCATCGGCCATGCTGATGGAAGGCAAAACAATATCTTATATTATTAAAAGAGAGATTATTTTCTTTTAAAGGCATTAAAATGAACATACCCTATCTTGTCCCAGTTAACAACAGATTGAAAGTCTTTTTCGGGTCTCGCTGCCAATTCTACTTTATCGAATTTATCAGATTTACCATTATGATGAACAAAGAGTTGTGTCATAATAGCGCGTCGATAACTGATAAAATCAGGAGGACTGTTGATGAATATTAAGAACAAATTATATTCAGGGGAATTAATGTAAAATGATCCAGAAGTGTTGTCGTTTAAAACAACTTTCATTTCGGCCAGAAAAAAAAAACAAAAAACCTTTAACTTATGTAAAAGACAAGCAGGCCAAACACTGTCAAACGCATTTGAGATATCTAAGGCTCGAACTTCGTCGTTCTTACCTAAAGGTTGACCCAACTCAGCAATAAGCGTTAACCCAGTGGCAATTGATCTAGAGAAATGAAAGCCATATTTTTGTCGGAAAGATGAGCTCGCGAAGTGAAATGCTGAACCAATTCAGAGTTGATTAGTATTTTTTATAAATATTGATAGAAGACTAAAAGGTCGATAGTTCGGTAGACCAGACAGAACGCCGGAATTCTTAACAGCCGAAGCATTTGTTCCCTATAACCTAGAAATATATTTGCCTTTGTCTCTCTCTCTCTCTCTCTCTCTCTCTCTCTCTCTCTCTCTGTACTTCCCTTTTCATGTCTCCACGCTGTCTCTATAAAATCGGCTAATTTTGATCATTCTCTCAGAAAAAATACGAATTTACTTTTGAAAACCGTTCAAAATATACCCCATCAATTATGATTGATAACTTTATTTTTTACTTGTTTTCTTGATTATTAATTTTTACGTCTAAAAATGTCTAAATAAAGCGTTAATTTTTCAAACGGCTACAAATTATTTTTATCGATTCTTATTGAAAGCCAGACATGCTGTACGTTTTAATATTTATATCTTCTCTGATCCTATTCTGAAAAACACACGCGTTTGCATTTAGTTTTATATTTTATATAATTTGAGTGGCTTTTAAGGCTTTTGTTCACCCAACAAAAGCCCTAAAAGCCACCCAAGGTAGAAGGTTACTGCGTAGAGCTGCATAAGCACAAGAAAAGGCAAGAAGTGAATTTCATAGCGCTATACAAGAGAGATAACGGTTAACCCTAGACTTGAAAAGCTAAATATTGTAGTGATTGAGAAAAATTCCTACTTGGTATTTTGTTCCGCAAAACAGCAGTTTTTTTTTAAAGAAACCCTCCTGGTAGAACTTACCTTTTACTAATGGAATACGAGGGAAATGAGGATGATTCCTTGTTTTCATGGCATTTAATTGGAGTAGATATGTTCGCCTATCGCCCGGTTCAGACTCCTCCCTAGTTTTCTGAAGAGGAGTAGAGCTTTATTCTTGTTCCCGTTTTAGAATTGGGTTTTTCTGTTCCTTCTTAAGTATTGTCATTTTCTTTCACTCTAAGTAACCTCTTGTTTCTTAGTGGCTTTATGGCCTTTGTTTGGGACAAATGAGTGAAAAATTAGCGGATAACCAATTGCAAATGTCATAGATGGTAGGACCAAGGAATGTCGCTCGTCAGAACTCATACCGTAAAACTAGCGAAAGAGTAGCGAGAGGCTCCTGATGTTTCGTCTATAAGAAAGGTGGGAAATAATTCATCACCCACAAGGCTGCGTAGATACTCTATAAAGACAGGCATGGGATTAATGGACAGCTCCACGGCAGCAATACCACATGTTTGGTCTAACCTGTTTTTTGTAAAGACAGAATACAGCAGGTGGAGCCAGATTCTTACCGGAGCAGTAAAAAAAGCAGACCATTTTTCCAGCATCGTTAACAATAGATCATATAAGAGTACCACTTGAGGTCTGGGGAGAGCTTGAGTCCCAAAACACGTTCAAGGCAAGGAGCCTCCTTGAAAGAAGACACATCCATCATGATAGGTAAAAGGTCGGGGTCTGCTCGGTGGTGGTGGTGTTGATGGTATTTTACTAGATGGATGTATTAAGTCAGTCTTTCCCCATATAACCACTTAGGCTAGGTAAGAGGAGAGACGAACTTTTAGGTTATGGTCATCGAGATTTTTCGCGGTACACCTATAAACTGTTGTATTATCCACATAAATATAATACTGTATAAAAGTTAAGAAGTGTAACGAAACAGAGAAAATAGTTAGGAAGTTGTTTATTCAGGGGTAAGTGTACAATGCATTATATCAACGCATGAGAGATTTTCATTAAAAGACTCACCCATGTGCTTTAAATAGATTGGTTACTTTCGTTACAGCTGGTTGGACAACATCCACTTAAACTGGAGGCCAGCATAGACACCATTAATATAACGGGAGGCTTAGACATTCAAGTGCTTCACGAAGATCATAACGTCTATTTTTTTTTTCGTTATGAGAACGTCCAGCATTTATTTGTTTATTATATTTGACATTGTAGGCCAAAAATTATTTTTATCCTATTATAATTGTGCATGTCCTACCCTTTGTTAGTTCGCACGACCGTTACGCTATTCCGATACCTCATAAATGGTGCACTACTCTGTTTTGCTCGCATGGCCAAAGAGGGAAATACACTATTTGGTTTCAGTGAGAAAATTAAAGAAAGAAAGAAAAAAAAGAAAGACAGAAAGAAAGAAAAACGAAAGAAAGAAAAGATAGAAGTGTTTAACGTCTCCTGCCAATATATCATAAATAATGAATAATTCGTTTCTGTTCGCGAGGCAAAAGTGGAAAACATACTGCTTGGTTTCAGTGAAAGAAAGAAAGAAAGAAAGAAAGAAAGAAAGAAAGAAAGAAAGAAAGACGGTTGTAAGGTCTCCTGCCAATATATCATAAATAATAGACTATTGCGTTTTGATCACGTGGAAAGAGGGGCAAAGACACTACTTGGTTTCAATCAGGAAATGATTTAAAGAAAGAAAGAAAGAAAGAAAGAAAGAAAGAAAGAAAGAAAGATGGAAGGATTTAATGGCTGTTTCAGTGAAATGGGGGAAAAAGTTGTCAATTCCAAACCCTTTCATTTGTACCCCCTTACTTCTTAAAATAACGACCTGCATTCATATTTATGATTGTTATTGCAATATTTTTGCTAAAGTTTTTAATCTCAAAT